AATTAAACATCACAAGGTTTATTCCAGTTTTTATCCATTCTGAATTATAATTTTTAACAGTCAGAAGCCCGGCTCCCATTGTCTTCAATATAGTCGCTTATTTGTTAGTCCCCTTGTATGCAGTTAATCGTCCGGTCTTGTAGCCCATTTCTTCAGCCTAACCCAACCGTCACTGGACTTGCCAGCACATTACTTGACTCCAATCAAAAGCATTTTGAAATAAGAGGGGAAGAATGCAGGAGTTTGCTATTTATTTTATCTTTTGGAGCTGTTTGTTATTGCTATTTTATTTTTAGCAAATTTTTGAACAATGTTCTGTGTTTGTGCGCACACACATGTGTGTAATTAGAACACATCAAGGTAGTTTTTTTGTTATGAAACATTAAGGGCATATTTATTTATGGTGGAATTTTTTATTTGTAGCTTTTATTTTTTTTCTTTGCTTGTTTTCTTTTCCTCCCACTCATATTTTCCTATGTAATGAGTTTGTGATAGGTTTCTCATTTTTTCTTGTAGAATGAAAGGACAAATTTTATCAAGAAAAATAAAACATGTAGCATAATCAATCCAAAAAAAGATTTGTAATAGCATGTTTGCAAGATACTAAAAAGATGCTGTGAACCGATAATACCTACAGTGCTATAATGGTGTAAGTACTTCCTACCCAATAATCTAGATATTTTCTATGAACTATTTTAATGTTATTCTGTTATAAGCATTAACTTTATAATAATTTTTTCCATGACATACATATATATTCATTCTACAAAAATATATATCCAGAGATTCTATTTTTTATTTAAATGTACACTTTCATTTTCATCAATGTTTATTATCTGTTTATAATGATTCCAATATCTGAAATTTTGTGTGTGCTGCACTTAATAAGAACTCCAACTTTTCTTTATTAATAAGCAATTCTGTGTTCCAAGTGATTCAGCTTTTTTTGTTTTGTTTTACTTACATATAGAGCTATTATTCTCAAAGTGCAATCACAATGCTGAGGAAAAATCTCAAAAGGGAATTGCTCAGCACATTCTGTACCCCAAGCGACTAGCCTCTCCCTCCTGAGCTCTGAACCTTGGAAATGAGCCCTGGTCACCTTTAGAGACCTCGTTCTTTCAATTAACGGTTCTCTCCTTGGAACCTTGATGACCTTTTCTATTAGTTGATCTCAATGGTACCATTTGATTTCATTATAGAAGCTCTAAAAATATTGAAGCCCCCAAATTCCTATGTAAATGTGATTATATTCTCCTTAATCCATTAAAAAAATCCTATTATTGTCTTCTTCAAGGTCAATCAGTGTTCACTTTTTTTCTATTTATAGCACTAAGAAGGACCCATTAAGTGATTATAAAAAATAAAAGTACATTCCAAAATAATTTGATGTCATCACCTCTTTATAGAAAAATGTATAGTAAAATTTCAGCATTACCTATTCTCAGAAAGATGCAAAGAAGATAATAATAAATATTAACAACTCCAAACAGAAGAAAGAGAAAACTCAATTTCTTGTTCCTCTTTCCTAAAAATGCTCCAGTAATCCAAATATGCATAAGTTCACCCCCCCACAAACATTTCCTCTGTTGTAGGGATGACTTTAGCTGCTCTTCTAGTTAGGCTTTTAGCCAACAAAATTTTTAAAACAGCAGCAATTAAAAAGTGAAAGTTCATTTAATCTGGCAAAGAAAAGTTTTTAGTGTCAAAGCAATAGAAGAAACTTCAAAGGAAAAATTATAACATTTGACAGCATAAGATTCAAAACTCCATATCCCAATGATATAATAGACAAAAAGGCAAATAAAAATGATGATCTCTTTGAAGTTTAACAACACATTTACAATCTTGATATATGATGACTTTATTAAAATTGGTATTAAGAAGACTGTAGTAAAAGCAAATGACATGTTTGATAAGTTTATATAGAAATTTTCAACCACATTATGAATACATGCAATTAAATTCACTGACAAGCCATATAATGCAAAATGCTATGTGCATAATTCAATAAAATAAGAAATCCTTTAAACAATGATCATTCATGGAGTATTTACTACATACTAGGTACTAAATTAGATAGTTACCTTAAAAAAAATCAATTCCATGCACCACCCTTATGAGGCAAGTATATTTCCCCATTTATTTTATTTTATTTTTTATTTTGTATTTTTTTTCAGATAAAATATTATAGATTTATTTTAAACAATTCTCACCTTGGGTATGCAAAATACAAACTCCACAAAATGTTCATTTTTTTACTTTGTAGTTTACAAATATACAAAATAGAAATTTGCTTAAATTTATATTACATTATTTATTAAGGCAAGGAACTATATAGAAAAAACATTTGTTCTGCTTAAGGCATACTTGGGAATAAACCATTGTACAAATTATTGCACATCTGAAACCACAGTGCATAACAGACTGTCTGCATAAAAATGTTACAGAAGTAAACCAGGTGTATTTACCTGACTTAGGTCATAAATGTAGATCGGAAGACAAAAATAGATTTTCCTTGTCAAAGTATGCAGCAGTTTGAGAACTTTGGCTTCCTCGTTTGGTACCTGTAGAACCAAGACTCACCAAGCACCATCATTTAGGCTATTAAAACACATTTTCTGTACCTGAATTTCTTCCTTTTCTTCTAACATCATAATGGCTTTTAGAAGGCAAAGGGAATACAAGGTGATCTTTTACACTTATTTTGCATCAAAACACAACTCAAAGGAATTCTGGTCTTCCCTCCCCCAACTCACGGATCTAATTAATACCCTGATATCCACAACTTCCAGTGACCCCCCCTTGGCGTTTTGTAAGTCCAGGAATATTCAAGTCGGATTTAGAATTGGGATGATAGAAGATCCAGTCGCAGACCCCACCTGTTCTTTGATTTTTGTCTTTTGGATTTCTCATTTTTCCTGATTATCCATTCACAAGTTGACTCAGTTGGGAACTTAACCATGATTGTAGTGCTTTTCAGCTAGGCTCTTCCCTTCATCAGGAAGACAGTGTGAAAAACTTAAAAAATACTGCATTCTCTTCTGGCAGTGTGGGTCGTATCCACTGTTTGGGATTTAAAAATGCCTCTTCGTGTGTAAGGCAAGGAGGTCCGACCTGGAAAACGCCCGGTCGCATTTCTGGCACTGGAACCGGCGGTGCCCGGCGTGTTTACGGTAGTGCCTGGTCAGTTCATCTGAGCGGGCAGCTTTCCACACACAGCCGTCCCGGTCACAGTGGTAAGGTTTCTCGCCTGTGTGGGTTCACAGGTGTGCCTTGAGATGAGAACTCTTCGTGTAAGTTTTGCCGCAGCCCGCGTAATCACAAGTGTGGGTGGCGGTCCTTTTCCAGGGCCACGATCTTCTTCCCCTTTGGCTTGGGCTCCTCTGGCATGCAGGACCCCGGTGGCATGAGCTCTAGGGGTGAAGAAGGCGGAGTCGGCATCCTCCCGTGCGCCCCGGAGAACCAGCACCCTCCCAGCCCGAACTACGAATCCCCTATTTCCCCATTTTAAAGCAGATGCTGTGCCTAGAATTTCCCAAGTCTTCTCAACTATAAATCTGGTTAATTTCACAGCCAGCAATCACTGCCACACTGAACCTTTCATAACCAGTTACTCTTTTTTCCTGTCTAACTAGAAAATGAATATTGTAAAGGTGATATTATGTGTCAGCTAGTAAAATCACATAAGCACTGTCACAGCTGGTGGACTTAGACATTGACATACTTCTAGACTCAATTATCTAATCCATATTAAGAGCTATAGAAAAACGACGACACTTTGATTCCGTGTTTCCTTTTCCAGAAATCTATCCTAAATTGAAATCTGATAAGCAGACAAAGATTTATGCAAAAGTATATGCATCACAGTATTATTTTTAATAGCAAAAATTGTAAAAAGGCTTACATATGGGAATAGGCAAATACATGATTAAATGTCTTGAAAATTAGATGCTATGCAAATACAGAAAGCATAATGAATATTTAAGCACATGTAAATTTACTCCCATGTAAAAGGAAATCAATTTTTTGGAAAACAGGTAATAAAAATTAAGGCAACCCACATTGTACCCTGCTTAGCAGAATCCTGTTAACAGGACTCAAAATACTAAGAAGGTGCAAGCATCCAAGTTCAATCCATACACACTAAAGGAAAGCTCCAGAAGAAAATGGAATATTCAGCTGGGCTCGGTGGCTCAACCTGTAATCCCGCGCATTTGGGAGGCTGAGGTGAGTGGATTGCCTGAGCCCGCAGGTTCGAGACCCACCTGGGCAGGAAGACCTCATCTCTACAATAAATTAAAAAAAAAAAAATCAGCCAGGCGTGGTAGCACATGCCTGTAATTCTGGCTACTTGGAAGGCTGAGGCGGAAGGATCGCAGGAGCCCAGCAGGTCGAGGTTGCGGTGGCCGGGAGCGGCCACTGCACTCCAGTCTGGGCAACAGAGTGAGACTCTAACTCAAAAAAAAAAAGGGATATTCCTACAGCAATTATCCTATTACCTTATAACTGTTTAATGTTTCCGATGCAGGAGTTCTCAATAAAAGTGAAATTCAAGAAATGTCATTCACTTCTGTAGCTTTCTCAAACTATACATAATTCACATGTCTCCATAGAATATATATATATATATTTTAAAAGGTGGGGGAAGTAAGAGACAGACTAGGAAAATTCTTCAAGTGATTATAATATACCTCTCCTCTCTTCTTAAAATCAATTTAGTTGATTTTTTTAATTTTCTGTCTACAGTAAGTTTATATGAAATCTCCATGATACCTTTCCATAGGACTTTGATTGAATGGGAAGGACTATTTATTACTAGTTGATCAGAACTTCAAATCCAATGGTACCACAACAATGCCTCTTTAATGTAGATCACTCAGTGATCGTTTAAAATACACACACACACACACACACACACATACACACTGTTTCTCCTTGATTTCTTTGAGTTATGTTTTTTTTTTTCTTTTTTTCTTGAGTTGGAGTCTCACTCTGTCGCCCAGACTGGAGTGCAGTGGCCACTCCCGGCCACCGCAGCCTGGACCTGCTGGGCTCCGGCAATCCTTCCGCCTCAGCCTTCCGAGTAGCCGGAATTACAGGCATGCGCTACCACGCCCGGCTGGTTTTTTGGTTTATTGTAGAGATGAGGTCTCGTCAAGTTGCAGGCGGGTCTCAAACCCGCGGGCTCAGCAATCCACTCACCTCAGCCTCCCAAAGGTGCAGGATTACAGGCTGAGCCACCGAGCCCGGCGTGTTATGTTTATTTAAGAGAGAAAACTTCTGCACTACGAAACAGTCTTACAGTACTATATTAGTGATTCTTTTTTCTTGTACAACTCCTGGAAAGCTCTGTAGACACAAGCTATTAGTGGTCAGTATTCATTTTCTCTCAGGGACAATATTTTAGTTTTCTCATCACGGCCCTTTCAGCTAACTCAAAGCCAGCCTGCGATGGGCATCTGCTTCTGGCTCTCCCTCCAAGCATCTGATCTACTTCTATAGTCATTCCTGGGGTTCTCAAAGTACTATAGGACAATAGTCAGTCCTCAATGTCTATTTTTGAAGGAGGAATCTTTCAGATTTTTGAGAACATAATTTGCAATACTAACAAACCTACCACCTGTCCCACACCTCTGACTCCTACATTTAACTACTGTCTATAATAAATACATAATGATTTATTATGACTAGCACAATCTTTACTTTGTGATGACCCCATCCCATCAGTCCTTCAACCAGGAGTGAGAAGCAGAAGAAAGAAAAAGCTAAAGTGAATATAATACACATCCTAATATGCAAATAATTAAAACAAATCAAATATTCATTCTACAATTCAAAATGAGAGTTCTATATTCAACAATTGCTCCTCTATAAATTATTGGAAAATCCATCAGGTTGGAACTCTTCCATGAAATGGAATGGTAATTTTTTAATGAAATAGTAAATTTTTGTAAGTCACTTATCAATTTCTTTGTAGGATAACTACCTATGACATACGATAACAAGCAAACTCTTCAAAACAAAGACCACTCTAACAGGCTATGAAATCTGATGGGTTTTTCTGAACAGTTTTCAAATTTTAATCTCAACATTAATTCAATGCTGCTTCAATTTCTGCTGCTTAGAATGCTGGCAATGGCTGGTAATTAAGCTTATCTGGACTTGCAGACTGGGTAAGCTCAGGGAACTTTTGGCACTCTCCTGGTTCTAATTGTCACCATAGTGAAGGGAGATCCATTAGAGTAATAAGGAGAAAAAAGAGCTGAAAAATTACCATTGGGTCTTTCCTTTTGGTTGGTGTACCATCATGGTTGTGTGAAAGAGAGAGCAAGCAAGTTTGAGCCTTACAGTGAAGACGAAGTAGACATAAATCTGGTGTATGCATATTTAGGCTTGAGATAGCATTTCTGTATCTTCAGAGAGAATGGGAGAGTATCAGTTGGCTGGAATGCACAGGGCAAGAACCTGCTCACTTACCTGACTTTTAAGTGTAAAGGTGCAGGCAAAAAAAGGCACACACACACTCACATTGTCATGCAGTGAAAAGGTGAAAAACAGTTCTCGTTACGAGTGTTAAATTGAGAGAAGGATAGCTCTAACCATGAGAACCCTAAGGGAAACCTGTCCTCAGCGATATGGATTAGGTGCCGAGGGATATGGAGAATAGCTTCTGGGCAGACCACCTGAAGCAAAAGGATCTTGCCAAGAAACACGCATCTTTGACCTTGACTTTGCATAAAAGATACTAGGACCTTGGCTCCCCTGTAGTTTTCTGGACCATCTCATGTGGGACTGCATCCAGGGCAGACTGACAGCCAAAGCAAGCAAAGGAAGTCTGAGCTGGTTCTTTGAAACCAATAAAATGCAGAGGAGTGACACTGATTTACCTCAAAGGCTAGATCATGAAAGATCTTGCAGCTGCTTTCTTGATCTCTTAGAATTTTTGCTTTGGGGAATCTTCCTCTTGGAAACAACCACCATCCTATGAGATACCCAAACCATATGAAGAAAATATGTGTCAACACTTGGTTTCACAGCCCAGGCTAAGTGGCCAATCAACACACAGTATCTGCTTTGTTATATGGGTGAGCTATCTTTAATATTCCAGCCCACACACCAGATGTTTATAGCACTAACTGGCACATTGTGGGGCTATTCATGCTGATCAATGGACCAAGTCGAGAATCCATTTGCTTTTAAGTGGTTTCAAGGGAGCGAGGGGAGGTTGTTATGTAGAGACAAATAATCATACTAGTCAGAAAACCTGACTCTGTCTTTAACTTTCTATGTAGCTTTTGAAAAAAATCACTCAACCTATACACACTTTAATTTTCTTATCTGCAAAATTGATAAAATAATAGTTCAACAGGAATGGAATACAATGAGATATTTTGAGAATGGATTTTTACAACTCTATAGCAGTCTCTACTACTTTTTTCCTTATAATGTGCCCTGTATAGAAAGATGAAATGATTTGCCTAAGACCAACAAATAAAAGTGACTTGTAACTTCAGCCTAACGGCCTCTGTAAACAGTACTCTTTCCAATTATTTGTGTGTGCAATTGTATCTTCTATTGTAAATAGATTTTTTTAAATGCTATAATGCCTTTCACATACAATACATTTTCTCATAGATAATGAAAAGTCATCTTCTTGATCAACATAATGATAAGTATTTCATTTTAAAATGCATGGCTTTTGGCACATTATATTGATGTTCATTGAATATAATTTTGTCTAAAACAAAAGCAAAATATTTCTTTGTCCGTGCACAAAAATAATATTGATCATATTTTTCTGTCAGAATTTTATTCTGTTATATGTATATTATGTTATGCTCTCACAACAAGTCATCATATTCTGTATTATTCATTAAAAACATAGGTGGAAGTAAAAATTATTTCTTGGATAAGAATTTTATGGAAAAAATATAAAAGATAGCCTTTAGGGAAAAAAATCCATAAATTTTAAGGGGTGATGAATAATATATTTATATTGTATATTTAAAAAAAAACAAAATGATTATGCTAAAGTATAATTTTCCAAGGTAGTTTACTTATTTGAAAGTAAAAATAATTCAATAACATAACAAATAAAAAATAAAAGCCAACAATATGAACCTTTGTCATTTTGCAACTAAATTTACTAGAGTGTAACAATAGATGAAATTTTTTTAAAACCCCACAAAGTTGGTTTTATCAAAGATGTCAAAAAGATGAAGTATACTCAAGCTGATCTTCTGACTTGGTATAAGATAGCAGCTACTTTGCCTCTTTATGGGAGTCAAGCCTAGAAACTCACTAGGCTGCAAATCTAACATTTATGTCCTGGAATATAGTATATGTACAACTGTGCTTTGTGTTTTTTCTTTTCGTAAATTCTAACCATTTGTGTAGGAATAACATAA